GTATTATAAGCACTAGAAAATTTAGCCCCTAAAACACTTCTGCTTTCGAAAAAAAAATTGAATATAAAAATTTACCAGTGCTCCCGGTAAATTTTGATGAATTTCAAACAGCGCCTACGGCCGTACAATGGTAGCTGCGACCATGAGAATCTCAGAATATGTAGTTGTGATATATGATTTCCAAACGGGAAGAGCTAATTGGTCGATTTTAGTCAAGAAACATTTTTTTATAGCTTAATTATTATCTTGAACTTGAGAGGGATCTATACAAAGTAAAGAGTTCATTATTTATAATTTCATAACTTTAGACCCGATTTCAACCGCAACTACGATCACTGAATATTGTAGGATCGTATATTCTTCCAATATATTCATTTGAAACCAAATTCATGACCTCATACAAAAGCTTTGTATAACCTTAAATATTGTTTGCACCTTATAAACGGAACGATATATTACACGTGATGGCTAGAGAAAAGCCCCAATTTGGCCGAATACATAATTACCTTCGTGCTTACCAAGTATTTTTCAGTACATGTGGATTTTTACTATGATTGGGTCCGTTTCCTTTCATTTTTACCATTCTTAGACCTCACAGTGAACATCAATTATTATGTACTACATAAACAAGCTTACCTGAATGCCCTCTAGGCTCCAGTCAGTCCTTTTTACAATGTAATCGCATGACCGGTACTCGACTTCATCCTTTATGTTTTGACATGTTTGTCACAGGTAGCACTAAATATAAATATAACCATGGTAAGGAGTGCCAACTGAGTGCCATAATGTTTTTTCCAGATTTTATTATGTTTGCTTTTCCTTGTCAAGACTTCCAATTTAAAACATTAGAATAATAGAGATCATTAGGTTAGCCCAGGGAGGTGGGAGAGACGTTTCCTCTTTTGTATCGACAATTAACTGTTATGTTTCTTTATATTTTGTTCAGGACATATCAACGAACGAGGAAGTATACCTGGATAACAAACTATAAGCTTGCAATTTCCTAAAAAATTCCCGCTGTATAATATAAAAACCAGATTATAACTTGGTTTTATCTGCACGACATCTGTATCTCACGGTCATGCCCAGGAAGTTTCTTAACGTATGGATCCAGTCACAGCCCCCCCCCTTTCCCCCATCTACCCATATTCTAATAAGCAAAACCTGCTCTCGGAGTGTGGGGGTCTTTGACCAGAAAGCGGATACAACAAAACAGCATCAACAACAAACAATATTGACAAGGACACTACTACTTCTACTTCTACTACTACTACTTCTTCTACTACTAGACTAATAATAATACTAATAATCAAAATGATAATAATAATAACAATAATATTAATGATAATAAAATTAACAATGATAATGATAATGATGAAAATAAAAAATTACAAGATGATGATAACCAAAATAACATGAAAAATATTAATAATGATAATTGTAATGATAAAAATGATATAAGTCATTATAATAATAACAATACTAATAAGGCGGTTTAAAAAAAAAGAATACCAATATTTAAAAAGAATAGGCGTTCATGAACGCAAAAAAATCATAATGTTCTAAAGATCTGAATAACGAAACCTTGCCTCCCCATATTGGCATCAATTGTTCTTTCTTTCGCCCTTTCATTGTTTCACAAAGGGCATTAAAATTGATCCTATCCATGAATGGCAAAGTGCATGCAACAGACATTGACTCAACGTTTCATGATGTTTTGGGCTTGTTCTGCTCATGCGTCTTGTGTAATGCATAGCATTCTAGATCAACAGATATAATGAATAGACGCCACTGTAAGAATAAACTATTGGTTAAAATCAATGAAATAAATAATTAAGAGTTTTGAAGACGATGTTTAATAAAATACATTTATATATCATGTAGTACAGATTTATCTGTATGGGTCTCTTGCCGAGGGTCCGCACATTTATCGCCAAATTAGGGCCAAGGAATCTGAGCGTAATTTCTCCGCCCGCCCGACTCACACCTTAACCCCTCAAATTAATCTAAAGGATTCTGAAAGATGATAAGGAAAAGGGTGCTTCCATTGTCGGCAATTCGGGAGGGGGGAGGAGGGGAGGAGTCGCGCAGAATCAACATCTCATAGTAGTTTATAATCAACTATTACTCCTTTGGCATGTGCTCCGTGTTGAATATCCTACACTGAACGGACCCTTCTTTAAACCCTTAGCGCAACCCTACCCTTAATACTAAACATAATCTAAAGACTATTGCAACCATATCCCATGAACCTAAGACTAAGCCAAAGCCTAAACCTAAGCCTAAACTTAAGCCTAATCCGAACTTAAACTCTAATAATAACGCTCCCCTAACCCCTATGTTATCTTTATAATCGTCGTCGGAGTACAATGTCACAAGAGCTTATATTGAGTCAAATGTGCGCGCGTCCTTTTTTACTATTACCAATTTTTAGCTAACAGCAGGGGCGTTGGTAACGGGGGGGGCGACACCCCCCCCCCCCCACCTATCAGGATATTGTCGGTAAAATGGCACTGCGGTCGGAAAATGTGGCAACGAAGAGGGGGAAATGAGAGGGAAAGGGAAAAAAGTAAAATAAAAGAAAGAAAAGAAAGAATAAGAAAGGAAAGAGAAGATGAGAAAGAAAGGGAAAAACGAAAAGAAAAAAATTGGGTTGAGCCGTATCGACGTCGGAGCAAGAAAGATACGCATATATGTGTTGCTGTGTCGGGTTAGCTGTGTCGATCCTCGTGTACTATATCAATGCAGAAGTTTGAACACGGTGATATGTTTAATATCTGTCGGCCGTGGCCCTTACGCAATTTGCGCGCTCTCTATCTGAAGATGACCAGGTCCCTGGATGTCGGGGCCACCGTACTGTACCACCAGGTTTATTTATGATTTTTGTATTGTTTTAATAGTTCAACCGTAACTCTTACGTGAATCAACTTCAAATTCAAATTCCATTTGGTTTATTAAAAATACTAATTAGTAGTCCAGGGAGTAGTTGCACAATGTTTACAAAGTAAAATTTATAATTTATACAAATCAAAATCTAACTTGCATACAGCTATAAAGGTTTGGAAACAAAAAGTTAATCGTTATTCAAACTAGAAGTTAAAGATCACTCGAATATTTGGCTGAAAATTAGTTGACGTATTATCGTTATAGTGCAATATAAAAGACAAATTATTTTGAATTACTTATGTGAGAAAGAAGTTATATCTTTTGTAATGCAACCATAACGGAAACTTATGACGTTTGAGATTTAATGGCCAATAGATAGTAAAACATATAGAGTGCGACCCAGACAAAACTAAACCGAGAATTATCGATGTTTTATCACAACTTAATCACAATTATCATTAATAAACGACACATATTTGTAAAACTTAGATCCTCTTCTTTCATTTGACGTAACTCATATGATGCATATTTCACGCATGAGTGATTAAATCAATTTGAAGAGAGAAAACCCAAAAGTCATTTGGCGGGCGGTGTCTGAATTTCGAAGAAAAATTCACATTTCTAGAAAGTTCAGTTTCTGCTCTTTCATATGACACCTCAATCAGGAAAAATGAGCAAGGAATAACAAAGAATTCGTTTTCACTGGCTGCCTGCCGTAGCAACAAACGTTGACGATCGTTGACGATCAGACGTAGTAAGCATCGAACTTCATGGTGAAATAACTAGACTTGAATACTTACAACACGAAGTCCCTTGAGTCAAAAGCCAGAATTCTACATTCCCTGAAAACGAAAACTAAAAGCCTGAAAACAAACAATCATGAACAAATAAAAAGTACGTAGGTGCTTGTGCTTTGGAAGGTTAAAGGGAATCGTACTTAGGGATTTGTCTTCATCAGACGTAACAAGGGGGTAATGGAACAGATAGGCTTGTTTCAATCTAGACTGATTCTCTCGAGGTCAAATCTGGCAAGTGTCTTTCACACTTCTTTTTCTTTCTTACACATCCCTACCCGAGCATACACTTTACCTCCATACATCCTCTTATTCTTTCTCTCTCTCTCTCTCTCTCTCTCTCTCTTAATCACACCCACACCCACACACACACACGCACCCCACACAAACTTCATTCACTCCTCTCTAACTGTCTCTCTCTCTCTCTCTCTCTCTTGCATACGCACACCCTCACCCCCGCGCAAACCTTTGGTTCAACTCTCTTCTCTTTTTCTTTCTCACACACCCCTACCCAATCATATACTTTACCTCCATACATCCTCTTTATTTCTCTCTCTCTCTCTCTCTCTCTCTTAATCACACACGCACCCACACACGCACCCCCACACAAACTTCATTCACTCCTCTCTAACTCTCTCTCTCTCTCTCTCTCCCGCTTGCATACTGCACCCTCAACCGCACGCAGACTTTTGGATCAACTCTCTCCTCTTTTTTTCTTTCTTACACACCCCTACCCGAGCATACACTTTACCTCCATCACCCTCCCTCTCTCACTCTTGCACGCGCACACCCTCACCCGCGCGCAAACCTTTGGTTCAACTCTCTTCTCTTTTTCTTTCTCACACACCCCTACCCAATCATACACTTTACCTCCATACATCCTCTTATTCTTTCTCTCTCTCTCTCTCTCTCTTAATCACACACACACGCACCCCCACACAAACTTCTTTCACTGCTCTCTAACTCTCTTTTTCTCTCTCTCTCCCGCATACGCACACCCTTACCCGCACGCAAACTTTTGGTTCAACTCTTTTTTCTTTTTCTTTCTTACACATCCCTACCCGAGCATACAATTTACCTCCATCCACCGTCTCTTAAGCACACCCTCACACACACACACACACACACGTACCCCCACCCTTAATTCGTTCCCTTCTCTCTCTCTCTCTCTCTCTCTCTCACTTAAACACATCCACACACACGCAACCCCACACAAACTTTACTCCCCTTTTCTAAGCCTCTCTCTCTCTCTTTCTCCCTATTTCTTTTTTATGAGCGCATGTAACAGCCAAGTGCCATGATAAATGATCAACAGTATTTGTTAAACTCATGCTTTATTTTAATCTTACATTACATTTTATATTTCAATTACGTATCCTTTATTTTATGATAAAACATGCTAACAAAATATAGGGCTATTAACAATAAGATGAGTAAGGTCATTTTTTTTAATTTTACACTTAAAAACATGTAATCATAGCCTAATGTAAATTATTAAGTTAAGTTTACACATGAACTTGACATGTAAAAATACTTGACACCATTGAAAATTTAAAAAAAAGCGGTAATAGTAATATAAAGCAGAAAATGAGACATAAGAATAATCTGTTACCTTATTCAAAAGTGAATGTTGATTCGGTTAAGCTTACGTAATTTATTATGAAGCTATTGGTGCCTATTAACAAAATCATTATGATGTTTTTTCTCACTAACTTTACAAAACAATGTGCTACTTTATACGAGTACATGTTTATCACGTATCAAGTAGCATTTATTTTCAAGTCCAATTAAGATCAAAACATACATATTTGTTTAATGTATTTTTTTTTTTAATTCTTGACACTTTCAAGAAATGTAACAATATAATAAAAGAATCATGGTGATTAAAAAATTAGAATGAAAAAAATTATACAAATACGAATTTGATGCATATCAATGTATTATAAAATAAACTGTATTCTCCTAAGATTAGACGATACAAGTAGACGATGCTCTTCTATACAAAAAAACATACAGTATGGAGAAATCTATATCAATAAATGCAAAGCTTGAATATAGGCATATAGATGTACATAGTATTTTTACTGTCCTAATTAAACGAATAACGAATGGTTATGTCATATCCTCGCCTGACGTATATAATAAACATATTATGTACTTTTCAGGGAGTATTTCTCTAAAATGATAGTTTTATATTCGAATTCCTTCTCAAACATATTGGCTCTTATTTCCTTTCGTTACTGTTGTTGTCGTTGTTTCTTTTTCTTCCATCGTTTCATTTCATACAAGAACGACGGTTATGGTACATAACGAAAAAATTGACGGGGCAAAAAGCAAAACTAAAGCTAACTTGATTATTGAAAAGCTCCTTTTTTCTTCTTAAGAGATTATTTCAAATAGATGTAGGCCTATATAAAAAAAAATATATATATATATATATCCTTTTTCCTTATTTGGAAACTTACTTGTTATGTTTTATTTCTAATCAATATATGTGGATTCTTGATCCCATCTTTGTTCGTCTTTGCTTTTTTACATTAACCTGTTTACACTTACAGGTAATATATTCGATTATTCTCTTCTTCCACGGAATCTCATAGTCATAATACGAACTCTCTTTCATATGCCACTCACTATACTCTACATTCATTGTTCAATAGTCTATTGATTAGCCACTCAGCGAACCAATGACAGTTGTCTGTCAATACATTGTAAGAATGGGTGTTATGATACGACTCCGCCAGCGCTGTCGCCTGACTCGCTGTGCAGAGGCTGTGTCCGGCATTGGACCGTTTCACTGGGCAGCTGAGGGTGTTATATCTCCCTATTCCTCCTCCGTAATGTCTCACATTATCTGCAGTGAACTCATAGGTCTTTCCTCTGAAGTAGACCATGGAATGCTCCTTTTTCCAGGATCCGAGGCGAATATCTCGTTTCCACAACGATCTCCACAAAACTTCTAGCGATTTATCAGGAAGGTTACGGACGTTACAGCCGAAATTGTCAAAATTGATTGAAAGGTGAGTGACTAGGGAACCTGGTCCTTCCCGGTAGGCTAAAAACAGATCAAATAGAGTTTTCTGAATAAATATGGAATCGTGCTAAAAGCTCATTGTCTTTTGCTTGTATTAAAACCACGTGTGCCCTAATATATATTGCTTTTGCGGCCATTACCTTCGACCCGTGGTAGTGTTAATATCGGGAATAAATGCTATTAAAAATCGATGCTTTAATATTCAAGTTAGACCTCATTCTCACTCACTTCGTTGGACCTGCCTACGCTAGACGGATCCACTGGACCGATCCATAGGCACGGTCGCAATTTTTACATGATGAGACCCGCAAAACCGTAGTAACATGAACCTTTCCTATTGCACGATCGCTGTGACAGCACGGGTAATGTTCGTGCCGGCCTGGTCGTCAAGTTATAGGTATTTGTCATCCCCTCACAAAATTATTATGCACTTTTTTCGTTTGATGTTCTGTATCCATTAGTTCTCTATCGTAGGTTTTTTTAGTTTTCCATCCCTATTTTCTTCAAAAAAAATCATCCCTTATCTTTCTTTTGTTCTTCTTTTACAACTTTGCTTTATCAGAAAAATATTCAAAGTTAATTTTTTCTCTCTTACATTACTTCTTGCTACAAGTTATCCATTAATCTGTCTTATTCGGGGCGTTTCACCTTTTATTATCCTATTCTTCGAATTTAAAAAAAAAATCTCCTTAGACTATTCTTTGTTTTTCTCCTTTCATCTTCTTTAGGTTTGATTTTTTTCTTTATCTTGATCTTTCTGTAATCTTCTCTTTTTATGTTCCTTATGTTATTTTTTGTTTTTATCTTGTTATCACTATGTTTTTCTTTCTTCTCATCTTGACATTACTTTTATCCTTTTGTCATTTTCTCTTTCTTTCTGTTTGTTATTCTTGATTTTATCATTCTACTATTTACTCTTTCTAGCAAGTTCTTCATGTTATTTTGTTTAACCATTGAATCGCTCTAACGTAGACCGTTCTAGTCTGGACCGGTGCACAAAGTGAGTGAGAATGAGGTCTTATTAAACCTGAAGCTTTCAAACTGCATGCGCAATTATTGTCAGTTGCTTTTAAATGTAACCACATTTATATTGGAGACTGTCCCACAATAGTCACCCCATATTATCCTTCAGATTCGTCCCCTCAAACACCATTTACAGCAAATTGTTCAACCTTACCTCATCCGTCGGGTTTATCCCTCCCCACCCCACCCCCCCCCCCCCCCGAGCGTCTCAAAACTTGAAAGTTGTGTCGATTTCAACCCATCTAATGTTACAATAAATAATTACCTGACAAAAAATTTCCGTCGGGATTACAAATCAGATGGGTCCTGCAGATTTCATTATGTACGTCATGTCAAATATAATGTCAGGATTATGTAAACACACCCATTTACCAACTTCACATGTTGACAAGACAAAACAGAGGAGGATACAACGTATCTCTATAATTAACACATGGAGGGTTAACTTCAGCATGTCAGTAACACAGCCTATAAAGACGTTGTGCTTTAGTATCGCCGTTAGCAATAGTTGGTAAAAAGTAAAATGCATTAAAGAACCGAAGGGTAGTGCCTTAGGACTACTTTAACGAAAACTTCTTATAAACACATGCACACAACATGTTTAAAAAAAGAGATTGTGTAAAAAAAAACCTTATCAAATCCCCATGAAATGGCTGGAAGAGTATGTAGTAACTTCTTTGTTATCAACTTACGGATATAATGATGAAACGCTGTGATCCATGGCCACCCGAGGATTGGCGTGAAAAAGATCGCCGATATGATGAAACAAATTGTCAACTTCATCTTTTCCGAGCAAGTTTGACTGGTCGCTCTTAACCGCAATTATTTGGTGCTGATAAAGTGATGATTTTTCAAACAGAGTGGAGTCTTCTCGCCGTCAACTGTTTCTCTCCGAAATGATTGAAACCAAACTACAGAATTCTTTTATCAGCTCGACACCTATTTCCTCCTTCCCGGATTAGGGACGGATCCAGCATTTAATTAAAAAGAGGGGGAGCAAATATTCCTTGAATTTGGTGACATGCAAAGAAAAATAAATGTTTATCAACTCGAAATGAAGGAGGGCGCATATCCTTCGACTTATATACTCAAGGTATGATCCTCGGATTTTAAATGGGGGAGGCGAGGACAGGTGCCCCCCGCCCCCCCCCCCCGAAAAAAAATATTTAAAAATCCGCAAAAGTTCAGATTGTCCAATTGTATTCAGGTTGACATGATGATTGTGATAGTGATGATTGTTTTCATTATAATGTTTTAGCTTCTTAAAACTTTTTCTTTTAGAAATGAAACAAAAGGATGAGTTTACTGTATAATGTTTGTGTTTATTGTTTAAATAAAAAACCAACAAGTTCCACATACAAATTTTAAAAACAAATCTTTGAAGAAAAACAATATCTCCTTCCACAGGGTTCTTTTTTTTTCTTTAAAACAAATTGCATCATATACAGTACATCCATACATTATATACACATAATTAAAGAATAATTTCCATACATAACGGTTACACAAAGATAATAATCATCTTTCCAAAGAATGTAACTACCCTCGACTAGCACTTGTTAACTTCTAGTTCCCATTAACAACTTCACCTAAATATTAGTAATACACATATTTACGTCTATATCTTGTACATAAAATGTTGTGCACACCTATGTCAAAATATCGTTTTAAAACCATTAATGTTCAATCAACATTACAGTTCCGTTATGTATTCATGCTTCATTATTATTTTTTTGCATTGTATGATTGTTCAGGTACTATTATTATTTTGATGTGTTGTTGTTAATAAATTCAAATTCAATTTAATTATTAATAATGAAATTGTTCAATATATACCAGGGTAGCCAAATTAGTTAGGCATTAATACTGCTTTTCATTCCCGGCCTGCAAAATGGTCAGGAATCCATTTAACACCTAGGTCGAGAGGGACAAACGTGGGCAAAAACACCTCGTCCAAGGATGAAAGCCCTGAACAAATATTCAACCAGGGACCTATTGTTTGAAAGATTCTTCGCCAATATACCTCGATGCCTTGTAGGGGAAGAGAGCCAGGGCAAGCCAAATGAAGAGAATGGTAGTTGGCAGGCACATACCCTCGTCAGTCGGGCGCAGGGCCGGCGATCCCGGGGGACGGGGGGGGGACACGTCCCCCCTCAATTTTTTTAGGGGGTATCGTCGTCCCCCCTCAAAATTTGAAAAAGTGCCCCCCCCCCCCCCCCCCAAAAAAAAAAAAAAAAAAAAAAAAAAAATGTATAGCAAATACTGACTAAAGGATGCAACACACTTTTAGGCTCTGGAGGGCCCAAGAATGCAGCGTTAAGACAAATAAAAATGAAAAAATCTTCTCACTCGGTAGTTACGCTCCCTCGCCAAATACCCTTCAAAATTTACAAGCAAATACCGAGAAAATTGAGGTGTAAACAAAGTATAATACTAGATTTTATACTATAGTTTTGCTAAGTACTGTAATTTTTTAATGCAACAAAACTTCAAAAACATGTGAGGGGGCAGTCACTTCAGTCACCTTCACCCCTCTCATTCACTATGCTCCCTCCCGTGCGTACTGATAGGGGGGGGGGGGCTTTGGGGGCAATTCCCCCCAAATGAGATTCAAACGTGGTTTATTTCTTATTCGATACCATTGATTTACAAATGTTGTTGAAATGGCTGAACTTCCCGGGCTCTGCCCCCTGGACCCCACCAAGGGCAATAAGGCGGCCCCTGGATGCTCACAATCACATGATCGTAATTTAATGCCTAAACCCCTGAGCTTCCGGGGGCTCCGCCCCCAGGATGCTCATCTGACCTTAATGAACGCCTAAAACCCTTGAGCTTTACGAGGCTCCGCCCCTTGACACCGTTGGGGCTTTGCCCCTGGAACGCCCCACTTTGCTTTGCTTTGCTCTACCTGATCGTTAATACTTTAGCCCCCCCCCCCCATTTTGAAAAACCTTCCCAGGGCCTGCTTAACATGTAGGAGTGGTGGTGATGCGGATTTTTTTTTGTGCCCCCCCTCAATGTTTTTGCTCATTACGCCAGTGCTCCCTCGTCCCTCGCATTTCGTCCCCCCGGTCATGAAAATAAATCGCCGCCCCTGGTCGTGCGGAACAGTGTCTGCATTGTGAGACTATGCTGACTGCACGGTCTTTTGGTACATACTTTAGGTTCAGTATTTAAAATGCTCCCGATACAACCAGAGGCAGACAGAGCTAGGCTTTCCTCAAGGAATTAGGAATTGTGGAAAAGTATCAAAATAGAGACTGTGCTTGCAGGCTTAGGCAGATAGAGAGGGAAAAGGGAATTACCGGTAGATTAAAGGCTTGTTTGGATATGACGCAGCAAAACCTCGGCAGCTCTTGTTTTTGTGTTTTTGTTGAGGCATATCATTGTCATTTTTATTTCTGTTTTCCTTTTTCCTTGTCCAGATTTCCGATTCGAAACGTTAAAAGAATTGAGATTATTAGATAAGCCAATAAGTTTCCTCTTCTATGTTGGCAATGTTCCCGATATCCGTTTCAACTTTTATGTATCTTTATTATTTTGAAGGACATATCGATGAACGAGGTAGTATACCTGGATAATAAAGTATAAGCTTGCAATTCCCTAAAAAATCCCCACTGTATAATATCAAAACCAGATTATAGGCTCGTTTATCTGCCCAACGTCTGTATCTCACGGTCATGTTTAAGACGTTTCTTAAAGATAAATTTGAGTTCTGGTAAAAAAAAAGGAAATGAATTCTCACAGAATCAGACGGAACTTACACTGAATGTTCAATATTTCAAATAAATGTCATTTGCCAAACAATTTTGGTAGAAAATGTATACTGGCTGAGTAATGAGCATAGACATGTAAGAAAATCAAGGTAAGTAGGCCCGACACCATTTGTGTAGTTCCATGTTTGATTTTATTTTATTTTATTTATGCATTTTTGCAAATATATTATAACAAAATAACAAAGAACATACAAATGTCATATTTTATTTCTGCATTTTTCCAAATATAATATGACAGAATATTGTAAGGTATAAAACAACCAATGCAACCAATAATTTCTTAAATAAAATGTTATTTTACATAATATAATATAATATATTATAATAACGAAACCTAATATTTCCATAACATTTTATCACAAATTTAAAGTATTATCCAGGTGCAGGAGACCGAAACCATAAGCGATGCTTGCAAAGGATGGCGGCCTCCAAAAAACAATCAAAAATGTTTTAAGGTAAAACTTAAAATGAAAAAGTGTTTAAACAATCTTTGTGTATGAGTTGGTGAGTGTGTTGTACAAGTGTGTATATATTGTGTGCGTTTGCGTGTATGTGTGTATGCGTGCGTGGTTGTGTGTGTGCGTATGTGTGTGCATGTGCGCGTTTGTAAGTGTGTTTAACGAATAATGGAAGTGCACGTAGCTCTGTGTGGTATAGCGGAGTGGAAACAAATAAAGCCTTTGCGGGAAAGGAAACCAAGGATACGAAATAGAATACAAAATTTGTGACCAAAATGTATGCATCTTTCTGTGTACAGTGCTCGTTACTTTACCAAGACTGGGTCAAAGTTATTATGAAATTAATGACTCTAGAACCTTGCGGTGCATACCAATACTTACATGCTGCATGATCAACTTTTTCTGATCCATTCCACACCTTTTCTTTCACAATGCAATCACATGCCCAGAACTCAACTATATCTTTAACGTACGGATCCAGTCACAGAACCCCCCCCCCCCCCCCCCCCCCAATTATAATAAGCAAAAAACTGCTATCGGAGTTTTGGGGTCTTGTATAAGCCATTTCGTAATTCCCTTTGCGCATGCGCCAGCTTCGTCAGGTCAAAGGTCAAAAGAAGTAAAATTGCCGTGTTTTGCCTTTGTTCTGGAGATCGTGTGTTTAACTCAATTCATTTGTGCTGAGGTTATTATGAGCGTGTAATTTCTTACTTTCTTTGTTGAATCACCGCGATCATCTCAGGAACAAATAGTTGAAAGATTAACCTTTATTATTTGTTTCTTAGATTTTAGCAATAGATCGTTGACAAAAAGTATATTTGATGGATTTTTGAGGCTTTTGACAGCGAGTTTCGTGATCTCATCCCGTCGATGACCGACCCACTTCACCAGTCATCAGTGTCGTCCGAAATTAAATTTCTTGGCGATGTTTCAGAAGAAAAATGCAATATATTCACCCCGGATGATAGGAAGACATGAATAAATAGTTATTATCAAGTACTGTTATGATTATGTTAGAACATATTACACTAATGCAATTTGATTACCGACTTGAAATCTGACATTCAATCCGATTTCATATGTCGGTCCCACGCATGAATTTTCATGTTTGAAAATCTAAGGTAGATCTATTTTGGGTGGAGGGGGCCGAGGATGGGGGATATCAATTATATTGTCACGTGTGTCTTTATTTTGCTATCCTGGGAATTATTTTTGGTTCATGCAATTAAACCTGAAATTGTAATCAATTTTGCAACATCATGTGATTAGATGCTTCATTTGAGATGTTGGGGTCTTCAACAAGTCTCCGTAATGTTCCTTCTTCTGCTGCTCTGCCACACCGGCTGAGGTGGCTGACGCCGCGAGCTCTGGCATCATCTTCGCAGCAAACACAAGCGCTACAAACTCCTCCTTTCGCCCGCTGACTTTCAAGTTCCTTTTGCGAAGATAATCTTTGTGGGCAGGAACTGTCACAACTTTATGTCATCTATAGACACCACAGTATCGTCTTCCATTGTCAATACGAATAAAAAAGCAGTAATTTAGACAAGAATGGGCGATTGTATGATTGAATTTCCGAGAGTTTGTACTCTGAAAACTAGATGTAAACAAACACGTAAGTTGTATATGAAGCGTGTATGTATACGAAGCGTGCACACAGCGGGTTCGAAAGCGAGATTTTTTAGGGGAAATGACCTCGTGACCCAGCCAAGTCACGTGACTCGCCGGCAGCCCATGGTCTAATTACAAAATCGCTTATTATATCCCACAATCTTTGATCAGAAAACAGATACAACAAAACAGCATCAACGACAAACAATATTGACAAGGGCACTACCA